GTACCTGAAGCTTCAACGGACAACAAGCAGAACATGCAGGATGTGAGCGAACATGAGACCGAGCCAGCTGCGTCCTTTCCGCTCCGCCGCCGCGATCGGCGCTCTCTCCTGCTCCGCGTCCGCGCTGACAGGCCACCAGCGTGCCACCGGAACCGGAAGGACCTGCGCACTCGTTGCCTTGCAGAGGCGGTCGGCTCGGGCATCCTGGTCCTCGCCGCCAGCGCGGCCTCCGCCGCAGCCCTCTCGCCGACGAGCACGTCGCTGCTCATGGGCGGCGTGGTCGGCTCCGCCGTCCTTTCCTTCGCCACAATCTCAGGAGCCCACTTCAATCCGGCGATCACGTGCGCCCAGACTGTCGGAGGAACCCTGCCGAGATCGGACTGGCTGCCGTACATCGCCTCGCAGATCGCCGGCGCGTCGGCGGCGGCACTCACCATAGCGCCACTCCTGCCGCCCGCGGGTCTTCCGCCGCCGCCCGCCCACTTCTTCGCAGAGGTGGCAGTCACTGCGCTTCTTTTCTCTGTGAGTTTATACCCCCCCGCAGAGGTGTCGGTGGAGCTTTCGCCCCGACCTGCTCGGACCCTTGCCTCCCTATAGGCGTGTCTCGCCATCGGAGACGGCGTCGAGGCGGGTGCCGTCTCTCGCCGCGGCTCGGCCGGCCTCGTCGGTGCGTTTCCGACCTTGCCCTGTTCCCACCTTCCCCTGATGCGTGCCCCCTCGCTGCGCCGTCGACGCCATGCGTCCTGATCTCCTCAGTTAATTGATCATTAATCAATCATTGCTCACAGGCGTCCTGATCTCCGCCCTCGGTCTCGCTTTCGGATCGACCAACGCGGCGCTGAATCCGGCGATGTCCGCCGCGCCAAGAATAGCGGCAATCGTGCTCTCGGGAGGCGGCACGGCGGCGCTTTCCGGCGCGCGCACCTACGCGTTGGGCCCTTGCGTTGGAGCTGTGTTGGGCGGCAGCTGCTTCGCCGTGGCGACGGGGCGCGGCGGTGGGCTCAACAGCTGCGCGAGCCTCGGTTTCTTCAGAAGCTTGCTAGAAGCTTCTCGGCACCTTCCTGTAGGCGGGCTCTATGGCTGCCTAGCGAGACTCGGAGCCGCCCTCTCTGCCGGCTCCTCTCTGCCCGCAGCGTCGCCGCCCGCCGAACCGTCGCGTCGGGTCGTGGTGCCGAACGTTGGTTGCCGCTTCTCCAGCGCGACAGCGCCAGTTGCGGCGGCAGAGGAGTGGCCGCGGTGGCGCAGCGAGTCTGAGCTTTGGCAGTGGGCGGGTAGAGGGGCCGTCGGGGCGGAGCAGTCGGTGGCGCAGGTGGAGCGTCGTTCTGACGCCTCGAGGTCGAGCGGGAGGATGGCTTGAAGAAATGTGTGCGGTCTCTCCCCCAACCCCCATCCCAGCATCCGCCATCCCTCCGACCCCCTTTAAATCATAAATGGGATACGAAAGTCGTATTGTGTGGTTTTCGCTTTTGCTTTCTTTCTTTTTCATCTAAATGTCCCTCTCGTGATGTCCCAAACAACCACACACACAAAGAAGGATGTGTTTATTTGTGTAACGGTTCCACCTCTCACAAGACAAAGGCTAAAGCGTGTTGACACATGACACACACAAGGCACCCTCGAGAACGGGGCACGCCCCCTGCACGCCGGGTGCGCGCAGCCTGTGGGTGCGCTCTCACAAGAGAGTGCGGGCCCAGGGGCCCAGCGCTCTGCCAAGAGTGAAGAGAGGGACTGAGCCACGATCACATGGGCTGCGCTGCGGGGTCAGAGACAGGACAGACGACAGACACACACACACACACACACACACACACACACACACACACACACACACACACACACACACACACACACACACACACACACACACACACACACACACACACACACCGCTCCCCGGCTAGATTGCGTGTCGCCTCCCAAGTCCCGTGGTTAAGTGATCGCCGCAAACCCTGTGGTCAGCTCCATATGATCTCGGATATCTTTTGTAGACGCCGGATATCTTTTGTAATCCAAGCAAACCCGCGCCGCCCGCAATATGACCGGACGAAATAAAAGGGGCGGGTTTCGAGGGGGGGAATCTGGAGAATCGTGGCGAGTCTGTCAAGTGCTCAGAGCCCACCTCATCGAGAAAATGCCCTTGCAAGCCATCATACTGGTTTTAAAGGCGCTCACAAGTTAGGCATCACATATGGCATCACAAGGCCATTTAGGGCCCCTGGACGCACGAGCACTCAGTACGCCAAATTATCCACCCTGGGCCGGGAGCGCAACCTTAACCCGGCTTGCAATACTGTCCCGTTTTGCTGTTCACAGCTAGGGACGGCCTCTGCGGCAATGTCAAACCACCCCACCACCACCCACCGCCTCCCTCCCACCACCGCAGCAAACCTTCGGCTCCCGCTCAGAGGCTCGCCGCGCCCGTGCGGCGCGCCGAGGCGGCGCCGAGGCCGGCGCCTTGCACCCGGCCCGCGGCCGGCACCGCCTCGCCCCACAACTGACCGCCCTTCGCCTCCAAGTAGGATTCATCGTCAGGCGTGAAATCTTCTGCTGATGCGCAGACAGCACAGGCAGCCACGAGAGCGATGCTCAAATGCTTGACAGTCAACAATCATGCTGGAGGTCCACCACGCTCGAACCTGTGGCGGTGAGAGGCACCGTCGCGACTCTATGACTGTACGAGGGCTGGACTAAATCTGGGCCGTGGAACACAACCCCCTCTCACTTTTCTCCCAGTGTGTATGTCTCTCTCTCTCCCCAGTAAGCTAAAAGAAGGTGTTCGTACATTCCCGTAGGAGGACTCTGCTGACAGGGTTTGCGATGAGGAGCGAATTTATACCAAAAACAGCCGTAAGGGGCTGCGGTTCGGCGGTGAACGGTAGGGGGCCGGGAGGCGGCCGCCGGGGTGCGGGGAGGCGGGTCACACGGCGAAGCGGAAGCGGATTTCGGGCGGCGGGTCAAACGGCGGAGGGAAGGTGGCAGCAGGCAGGGGGGGGAGGTGTGTGCACGGGGGGGGGAGGAGGGAGGCGGCGGGGGACGGGCAGGTGGCAAGGGCGGCGCGGTACGGTGCGAGCGAGACAGTTTAAAGTTTCTCACCCCAAATATTGGCGCGCGCCGCGGCGGGGGGCGGCGGCGGCGGCGGCGGCGGGGGGGGGGGGGGGGGGGCCACCACCGACATTGGATCTGCTTCGGGAAATAAAAACCCCTTTGGCCCCCCAAAAAAACCTGATCTTTTGGGCCCCCCCCCCCCTTT